GGTTTTTTTTCGCATCATTTATAGGAAGAGTATAAGAATAATGACACAAAACATTAAAAGTAATAATAGAACAAAAATTGATTTTCACTTAAATTAAGACAGTTTAAACAACTTTTATAATATAATTAAAAAAGTTTATATTAAAAATTACATGCCCTTTTGGATTGATGTAAATAAGATACCTTAAATGAAGCTATTTTTCATAAGATTAATCTTATGAATGTTATAATAAAAAATATCTATAAATATAGAAAAAAGAGAAAATTAAAAATTATAAAAAAGAATAAAAAAAAAATCTAAAAAAATCAAAAAAAAATAGGCGATTCAATATAAAAATGCCTTAGAAGAACTATTGAAATTACTTAATAGATCTCCTTTTTATCATTTTAAAGAGAAGCAATTCAAGATTCAATTATATAGTTCTAATATTCTTTTTTACACAGAATTTTAAAAATTTGATCAAATAATGTTTTTTAAATTTTTTATTTGATAAATTTAAATAGAAGTTTGATGTATCTGTTGGACAACAACTAAATAATTACTCCCCCCTGGGGGGTGAGTGAATTAATTATTAATATATTCAATTATTTCTAATATATTTAGGAAACTAAATAATGATATATATATATATTTACTTTATAGCTATTCATACATGATTATGAAGTAGTAATTGTTTTGATAGATCCTTAAACATAGTTAGGGCCCTATAATTTTATAATTACATTAGGGCAAGTTTTAATTGATTTGATTTCAAAAGGAATCATATTTGATAATTCTAAATTTTCTCCTTTAGTTATATGAAAATACTCCCCTTAATAGTTGCATTAACTAAAGAATAAAATTGTAACACAATTATCAGCAGGAATTGAAGATAGATAAAGTACTTTTATTAAAGAGGGTGTTGAATCAAATTTAGCAGATGAAATGTTTTGAAATTCATTGCATTACTAAGTTTAAATGAGAGATTGTTTCACTCCTTAAAAGTTTATGCTATTGAAAAGATGTAGTTTTCTGTTTTTTGGAATACTAATGGAACGGATATTTTGAGACCAGCCTAAAGCTTGCAAGTCAGGTGTGTTTTAACAAATTATTATAGTATCACCATTAAAATCACATTCAGAAAATAGCTCAGCACAATATGGATCAAAAATTTTGAAGTTTGGATCATATTTAAATATAGCCCCTTAATAATAAACTCTATAGACTATCGAAGTTGACCCTAAAGATAATTGGAAGTTTTTACATGTGTTGAGAATAAATTATATCTTGGTATTCAATTCAATATTTAGAAATTTCAATCTAAAGTTTTCACCGTTGTTAACATCATAACCTCTACCTGCTATAATAGGAATAAGTTGATAGTTTCCCAAAATTTATGGTCGGTCAATTATAATATTAAGATCGCACTCACCTGTCCCTCTTGAAACAAATGGATGATTTGGAGCATTGATTAACGCTTACACAGGGGATGACCATAATGATTCTGCAGTACCCAGAAGAACATTAAATTTAATATAATCCAATTTTGATTGGGAATAAGTCCTTGCGGAAACAGTAATATGTGTTGAAGTTAACTCTGCAATCTAATTAAAGAATAATAACTATTATTTACATCTATTTCAATATTATAGTAATAAGCTATATGTTTGATGCCAATTAGTGAGATTAGTCCATTTGTGGCATCATTTAAATTGTGCTCAATAATGAATTACACTTCCCTTTCTCCTGAACCAGACTTTAATTCATAAACATCCCATGTCGCAAATGTGATTACTAAAATTCTCGGATCATTAGTAGCAATCCAATAAAAATGTATTTCATAAATAGGATTTGGGGTTTATGCCATTACACTGATTTTGAATCCTTTCGATTTATGAAATTATTTAATTACCAGTTGTATTTATAGATGTCACCTCCTCCAACAAACCCTGCAGGCAATTATCGATCATAATCTACTCTTTGTGGTTGAATAAAAATTTATGGAGTAGTCCTAAAAACGATAGAGAATTGAACATTAATAACAACCTACCTTGGAACCTAAGATGAGCCTTCTAAAATATGACCAGCGTAGTATGTAACTATAACTTGATATCCATTATCAAACTATGGTGTCCAAAAGTTCTACACTAAAATCACCATCGCAATAAGAAGATTTAACTTCATATAAAAATGATTTATATTTTGAGTTAATAATTCTTAGAATTTCTACAAGTTTATGATTTTAATAGCAAATGTGCAATAAAACGTTCTAAACACTGTAATTTAGAAAGAAATGAGATCCTTAAAATTAAAGGAAATATATTTAAATAATTAAGTTGCACTATTTCTGCATATCAATTTTTTCGCTTTGATTGGGTTTGGGGTTGGGTTTGGGGTTGGGGTTGGGGTTGGGTTTGGGGTTGGGGTTTGGGGTTGGGTTTGGGTTTGGGTTTGGGGTTGGGTAATTGCCAACGGCTCCGACTGGTTCCAT